CTCTTAGTGAAGAGATTTCGGCAAATCACTGTGTGGATCACCATTAAAGGCAGGACACCTGTGCTGTTATGATTTGATAAGTCCTAGTTAGTATACAAAAGTTAAAACGAAAACCCAAGGAGGACTCCACTAAAGAAAGCAGACTTTTAGGTATGTCAAAATTTCTCTTGTGGTTTTTCTAGATTAGTTTCAATTAAAGTGATCCATGGCTTTAGGGATTAAAATTTTAATAATATTCCACTGCGTATGAGTTATCTTAGTATGATTTAAATCCCCAATAGTAGAAACCTTGTGTGTCACTCCATATTTAGCTAGAATTGTTGTAAAATACTTGTTGTAAAAATGACTGCTTTCATCAATCAATATTGCTCTTGGTGTCTTGAATCTAGTGAAGTTGGTTTTCCTTAAAAACTTGAACAATTCTTTTACATCATTTGTAAGCATTAGCATGGCTTTTACCCATTTTGACATATAATCTATAGCTAACAGGATATAACGATTGTTGAAGGAAGAAATGAAAGGCCCCATGAAGTCTATGCCCTCAACATAAAAGATTTTCATTTCAAAGATATTAGCAAGTGGCATCTTATGCCTCTTTGAAATATTGCCACTTGTTGACACTTGTCACAATGAAAAACAAAATTGCGAGCATTTTTGAATAAAGTGGGCCAATACAAATATGACTGAAGCACTTTTGTTGTTGTTTTATCTCCTCTAAAGTGTCTGTTATAGTCTAAAGAAAAGCAATGCTTCAAAATACTTTCAACTTCCTCTTTTAGGATGCACCTTCTAAGAATTTCTCAGCAAATTGTTTAAATAAGAAAAGTTAATCCCAAACATAAAATTTAACATCATGAAAAAATTTCTTTCTTTGCTGAAAATTTAAATCAACAAGTAAAAGGTTATTTACAATGTCTTTGACATAATTAGCATACCAAGGTAACTTCTTTTGACCAACATGCAACAATTGCTCATCAAGAAAAGTTTCATTAATCAAAGTTAAATCATTAGCTTGGTTATCATTCTCCAAACCTGACAGATGGTGTGCTACTTGATTTTTTATGCCTTTCCTATCTTTAATCTCCAAATAAAATTCTTGAAGCAAGAGGATCCATCTAATCAATCTTGGCTTGGCATTTTCTTTGGCAATCAAATACTTAATTATAGATTGATCAGTGTACACAATAACGTTAGTGCCAACCAAGTAAGAACGACACTTATCAAATGCATACACAACAGTTAATAGTTTTTTTTTAGTGATGGTGGAATGCATCTGAGATTCAGTTTATGTTTTGCTTGCATAATAAATAAAATGAAAAATTTTTACTTTCTTTTGGCCTAACACTACACCTATAGCATAGTCACTAGCATCACACATAAGCTTGAAAGACGATTCTAATCTGGAACTACAATGATAGGTGCAGATACCAATTTCTTTTTCAATTTTAAAAATGCAGCATGACATGCATCATCAAACTTAAAGAGGACATTTTTTTCCAAAAAGTTGTGTAAAGGTTTGAACATTTTTGAAAAATCTTTAGTAAACCTCCTATAAAAGCTAGCATGTCCCAAGAAACTTCTAATGCCTTTCATTGAAGTTGGTGGTGGAAGCGTTTCAATTGTCTCAATCTTAGCCTTGTCCACCTTTAAGCCTCTATTCAAAACCTTGTGGCCAAGAGCAATGCCTAATTGGACCATGAAGTGACATTTCTCCTTATTCAGCACTAGGTAAGACTCTTCACACCTTTGAAGGACCCTAGCAAGTTTTAAAAGACAATCATCAAAATTATTACCAAAAATAAAGGTATCATCCATAAACACCTTAAGGTAATGCTCATCCACATCAGAAAAAATTACCATCATTTATCTTTGAAAAGTAGCAACTACGTTACAAAGTCCAAAAGGCATCCATTTAAAGGAAAAGTTCCATAAGGGCATGTAAAGGTAGTCCTTTCTTGATCACTAGGAGCTATTGCTATTTGATTGTACCTAGAATATCTATCCAAGATACACTGAAACTCCTTACCAAATAATTTATCCAACATCTGATCAATAAATGGCAGAGCAAAATGATCCTTCCTTATGGCTTTGTTGACCTTCTGATAGTCCATGCATACTCTCCATTTAGTCACTATTCTCAAGGGAATGAACTTATTGTTGGAGTTGGCTATCATTGTTATCCCACCTTCTTTGGTACGCACTAAACTAGACTCACCCAAAAACTATCAGAAATTTGATAAATGATGCTAGCATTTAACCATTTAGTGATTTTTTTTCACCACCTTCTTATGATAGGATTCAGTCTTCTATGATGCTTAATGGTGGCTTTACGGTCATTCTCCGAAGGATCTTATGCATGCATATGGATGAACTAATCCCCTTGATGTCAGCAAAGGTCCATCCTATTTCCTTTTTATGCTCCTTTAACACTCTTAAAAGCTTATCTTCTTGTAAGTTAGTAAGAGCAGAATAAATAATAACAAGAAGAATAGATGAGTTATCAAGATAAACATACCTCAAATGTCTATCCGTTGTTGGAGGTTCCTCAATGGATGGCTTTATTGGTGAAGATGAAGTAGAAAAATCCAAAGATTCAAATGGTGTCCTCAATACATGAGATGATGCATCGAAAAAGTTCACATATTCCACAAAATCAACTTCATCCCTTTCATAGTTAACAACTAATGATGCCTCTAAAGGGTCATAGGGATAATTCTCATCAAACACAGCATAAGTGACACTATTCACTACATTCACCATAAAGCATTCATCATGTTTATTAAGAAACTTTAAAGCTCTAAAAATATTGAAAGTTACCTCTTGTCTTGTACTTTCAAAGTAAGTTTGTCTTTCTCTACATCAAAAAGAGCTCTAATAGTTCGTAGAAAAGGTTTTCTAGCATCATAGAAACCTCACGATCTTCCTCCATATCAATAACAATGAAGCTAATAGGGAAAATGAATTTATCAACCTTCACCAGAACATTTTCCACGATACCTCGAGGATAAGTGAGAGAGTGATCAACAAGTTACGATGTCATTGTGGTTAGTTAAATTTCTCCCAATCCTAACTTCTGATAGATCGACAAAGGCATCAAATTAACATTAAACCCTAAGTCACTCAAGGCTTTAGCAAAGAATAGCACATAAATAGTGCAAGGAATAGTGAAGCTACTCGGATCTTTGAGTTTTGATGGAAGCTTGTTCTGAATAACATCGTTGTATTCCTCACTAAGTGCCATTGTCTCATACTCACCCAATCTTTCTTTCTTTGTCAAGATATCTTTCAAAAACTAAACATACAAAGGCATCTGCTCTAAAGTTTCAGTAAAAGGGATGTTGATGTAGAGCTTCTGGAATACCTTTAGAAAATTCTAAAACTAAGCATCCAACTTTTGTTTTTGGAAACGCTGGGGAATTGGTGTAGGAAGGTGTGTTGCTTATGCATCCTTGACCTGCACTTGCTTGTCTAACTTTTTAACTTCTGATTCATTCTCAACTAGCTTCTCTTGCGGCTTTTCTTGTTAACTATTATTACCAACCTTTTTTCCACTCTGAAGGTTTACTATCATACAAGGTTCCTTGCCTTCCTTTTAGGATTAGGTCCAATATTACTCTATAGGGTCTCTTGAGAGGCCTATTGTTGAAAACATTAGCTAATTGCCTTACTTGAGTCTTAAGATTTTTCAACAAAGCTACTTGCCTATGAACAAGGGCATCTATCTTAGCCATATATTTCTTGCACAGCTCATCCATAGACAGCTTCTATTCTTATAGTGGGGGTCTATGTTGCTATGGAAAACTTGAAGAAAAATTCAAACTTAAAGCTGATGAAGAACCCTGATTGTTGTTCCAAGAGAAGTTGGGTTGATTCCTCAACTTTGGATTATAAGTGTTTGAATATGGGTTGTTTTGCTGCCTTTTCCCCACAAACTGAACAGACTTTGTACTTATAGGATAATGATCACTAGAGTGCTCATCACTATAATAATCATAATACTTATAGGACAATGATCACTAGAGTGCCCATCACTATAATAATCATAAGTAATAAAAGGACTCTATATTGAATGTACTCTAAAACGATCAATATTCTTAGTGAGAATGGCTTCTTGAGTAGTCAACACATTAGTAATATCCAAATTGTGAACACCAACTACCCTTCTTGGAAAGGCCCTCTCAAAATGCCATTGATAGTTGTTTGATGCCATCTCTTCCAAAAAGTCATAAGCATTCTCAATCGACTTTGCCATAAGAGCACCACCAACTGTGACATCAATGGTAGTTTGAATTGGATTCAACAACCCATTATAAAATATTTGCACTTGAAGCCATTTACGTAAACCATGGTGCAGGCATCTTCGAAGCAAGTTCTTATACCTCTCCCATGACTCATACAATGACTCAGAGTCAAATTGTGTGAAAGAAGTGATATCATTTGTTATCTTAGCTATTTTGGCAAGGGGAAAGAAATTAGCTAGAAATTTCTGTGCAAGGTTGTCCCAAGTAGAGATAGAGTTGGTGGGGAGAGAATTCAACCAAACATTGACTTTAGTTTGTAATGAGAAAGGAAACAACCTCAACTGAATGGCGTCATCAATAACTCCATTGTGCTTAAAGGTGTCACAAATCTCTAAAAAGTTTGAAATGTGAGTGTTTGGATCATCATTTAGGAGACCACTAAATTGAACAGACATTTGGATCATTTGAATGACGGCTAGCTTAATCTCAAAATTGTTAGCTAGAATTGCTAGCCTCCAAATACTTGAACAGAGTCCTTGAACCAACTGAACTGCATAGTCTCTTAAAGATCGATTATCCACTGCTACATGTTATTGCAATTGTTGTTCTTTGATGTTAATAGCCATTGTTTCAAATTGATCAGAGCTTTTGGGAGTTTTGTCTTAGTAAACTCTAAAAAGTTTTCTCGATTTTCGAATCATATGATACTAGTTTCAAACTCTGCACTCTTTTCATACAATAACTTTACGTACCTGAAAATTAAAAGAAACAAAACTGGAATTAAGACTAGCTTGAATTGGTATTATTATTAGCAAAAGAATATAAAAACAACTCCCTAGCAATGGCTTGAAAAACTTGTTGCGGGCTTAAATACTATATCCATTTAAACTAACATGCACGTGCACGTGCCGTGAAAAAGTAATAAATTGAGTACAAGTGTTGATCCCACAAAGAGTTGGATATAGTTCTTCACTAAGTGCTAAAATTAGGTCAAGTTAACTTTATCCAACCTAACCAAAGTGTGGAAAATGATTAAAACAAACTAACTAATTAAGCTAATTAAAGAAATGCAAGGTAAAATAATTTGGAAGCAGTATTTTAAAAGTTTAGGATTATGGTTTCATTCAACATTTCACTTGGATTGTTGTTCCTTTAATTACTTAATTCAATGGGAGTTGATGTTAGTCCAAAATTCTTAAAATCCTAATGCATGTACAAGCCTATGTCTATGTATTTGTACAATTGCCTAGATTAATTGGGTCTCTATATGTTTATAGGATTCAATTAAACTAGGTTCTTTATGCATAATTTCTACTTAGACTATATGTGGCATCTAGGCTTATGTCTACCCTAGTTGCTAATCAAGGCACTTAACATATTATCCAAACCTAGGTCTAATCTAAACTAACCTTATCAAATCTCATTTAGATACCACTACCATTCAATTGATGATCAAGCAATTAATGGTCAATAAATTCATATTTGAATAAACATCAACATACCCATTCAAAATAAGTAAAAGAGCAACAAATAATCCAAGTTACATGAACAAATCCACCAAAATCCTAAATAAAAGCTATTTCGTTCATCATAGTTACAGCAAAATTCAATATTTCCAAAAAATAACTCATTTTTATAGTAAAAGATAGAGAGAGATAGAGAAAACTAGTGAAAGAAATGATTTGTTGTAGCTTTTGGAATCAAATGTCCTTTGATTTCTCCCTTTTTATCTTTTTGTTGAAAGATTTCTTTTCTAGAAAATATTCTCTGCCTTTAGCCCCTCAAAACCCACTTAAAAATGGCATATTTATATCACCCATTAAAAAGCCCTAAATGAGAAAACTGTCATGTGTAGAAAATATTCCCTTATGTTGACGTCGTGGTGCCAACTTCTCTATCCCGTGTTTGTGATGGTTGAGGGTTGGCCAACGTTGCAGTGTTGGAAGTCTTAATGCTACAACACTAGGTGTTCTGTGTGTTGCTATGTAGTCTATAACAGTCCTTCAGCTTCCAATGTGATTTTGACCATGATCTAATCAAGACTAGGAGAAATGATAAACACAAAAATTGTAGCTTCTTTATCTTAACTTTCCAAAGGTCTAAAAATCACAGTGATCTAACTTCTATAGCTCAAGTTGCGCTCAAAATACTATGACATGTTTAGTAGACAACTCAAGCCATTTTGCACAGTTTGTCATCTATTGAGCTTTCTTGTACATAAAAACATTCAATAACAATAGGACCAAGTCAATTGATGGCTCAAATTGAGATTTTTAATATAAAATTAAATTAAAATCACTTGAATTAAAATAATATATATTAAACTTATTTATGAAAAGTATGAAAATTATCTAAATATAATTTAAAAATATAAAAACTTAATATTTTTTATATCTAAATATAATATAAAATAATTATATATAATAGAATTATTAAATATAAATACGATGAAAAATTTACTATCTCCGCTTGTCCATTGTTGATTTCGTAATAAAGTGTAAAGTTAGTTAATTTTTGATCCAACGGCTCTGCAATCAGCCGCAATATTGTGTGGCTTGAATCACACTGTAGTCATCAACGGATTTTCATTTTATCTATTCTCGTTGACTGTTGTGGGACTTAATCATTCATGGTGGACCCATGCATTTAAATGATGAGAAACAGTGAAGTTGGAAGTAACGGTAAAGAGTCACAGAAAGGAATCGAAGCTTTAAAATCAAATGTGATTTTTTGATTTTATCATTTAAAGTGATTAATTACCACAATTGGAAAGACTATACGATCCCTTATAACTCATAAATTCTCTGCTTTGGTTTAGTGTCTTTTTGGTAAAGTAACACGTAGATAACAACAAAACTAGTATGAATTTGGTGACAATTTTAGACAACATTCAATTCTCTATTAATTATTAACTTTTACCAAATGTGGAATAAAAAAAACATATTAAAATCTAAGTAGAAAGAGGTGGAAAAACCTACAGTATTCTTGAGAGTTGAAAGCTTGTAAATACCAGGTAATTTTCTTTTTCATTCTTATTTTTCAAATATATTTTATAATTATTTTCTAGTTTAAAACAAAGTCATTGATGGATGTTGAGATTCATACCATTATAGGTTGGCTAGATTTGTTCTTATCGTAGAAATGTATTGAATCGTAAATTTTTATTTGTATTTTTTTCGTTGAATCATTTCAATATATATCTAATTTGCACGGAATTAAGTTTTTGTTGATTTTATAGGAAAACAAGAAGAAAACGGTTTTAGGAGACATTTTTTGTGATTTCCATTATCACTAGGGAGAAGTATAACTTAAGACGAGATACCACTGAATCATATTCATACTTGAGATTTGTTAGGGTTAGGTAGCAAGAAATTTATCCGTCTCAAAATGATGTGTGCTCCGGTTATCTTGTCAATGAAACTTGTCATTTTAATTAATTTTTCACAAATCTTTAGTAATGCCTTGTCTTAATTACTTCGGTGGTGGCTTTTCAAAAAAAAAAAAAACTTCGGTGGTGTTCTTAATCCAAACATCATTCATGTTGGTTAAAAAAATATTAAACTTTTAGGCTTCAATTGACTAATTCATTAGCTAAAGGCTCGAATTAACAAGTATCCATAGTTTAGGGGCTAGCTATGATATTATTCTTTTATATCATTAGTTGAAGGATCAAATTGATAAATGACCAAAATTTTGAGAGCTAGTGATGTTTTTACAGATTTAGATTTTGTCTATAGTTATCCTCTAACCCAAAGATTTTAAGTAAAAAAAATTCACTTTAGTTCTCCATCTTTAATTCCATTAGTTAAATACTCTTACATATATAGTGTTGAGTGTGAATTACCATTTAAAAGGAAATGATGATATATAAGTATTTCTTTGAATATATTTTTTTTATTATTCAATTTTGAAAATAAAATTTTGATCATCAAAATTTATAAGTGTTTATATTTTGATCATTTGATCATTAAAAAAATAACAATCTCTTATTCCATGTTACCATATCATGCAAGTGGTTATATGGAGGTAATTATTTCTATCTGTGGTCTTGTCTGCTTTTTGTGGCAGTACTGGATGCTTGCTTGAAATTGAAATTAGCTGCTTTTCACAAGAACTGGAAAAATGAATCCTGCAGAAAGTGATAAGCTGTTGGAATCCATGTTCGGGAGAGAGGAATGGCAGTTTGAAAGAATTATCTCGGAGGGTGATTTGAATCAAAAACAGGACATTATCGTGCTTGTACCCGAAGTTCATAAGTATTTTATTCCGTTACTCAGAAACAAGGACGCAAAGGACTTGACTGAGGGCAAAGCAATTGACATTCTTCTTTTCGATGAAGACTTCAAAGCCTATTACAAATTGAAGTTGCATTTCAGTCGACCTTATTTTTTGCTTTGGGACACCACTGAGTTCTATCAAACGAAAGGACTTACTGTTGGGCAGCGCCTTGGATTCAGATACGAAGGCTGGTTTGCCATGCTGGTTGTTAAACTATTAAAGTAAATTACTTTTAC